AGTAAGTTGAGCGAAGCGGCAGGGTGGAGCAGGGCAGTGAAGACGGGACTTCGAGTGAATGTGGAGAGGACGGAGGTAGAGTTGATGAAGTTACCCAAACAACACGACCGCCACCACCACCAACAACAACGAGCTCCAATCAACGTCAACGTGAAATGCCTAATGGAAGTTGCCTCTTTCACCTACACAACTACCTAGGCTGCATTGTTTCAACTACAGGCGGCACAGGCACAGGCACAGACACAGACGAGGATGTCAAAGCCAGCCAGAATCGGAAAGACACCAAGACAGACATTCATCAACCTGAAACCAGTGTGGAAATCTACTGCACTGCACTGCACTTTACTGTACTGCACTGCACTGCACTCAGCATAAAGCGTGAACAACATCCGAAGTCCCAACCTCAATGTCAGTCAACTAAGTGCTCCCATGTGATGGTTGGGAGACTTGGCACGTTAACACAAGCATTTCCAACAAACTACAAACATTCATCAACAACTGCCACCTACACTGGCTCGTTACTCAATCTCAGATGGCCATAATAGTATGAATAAGCAAGAAGCAATTCTGGCTGGCCTCACAACGAACCAACTAAGAGCCTATCACTCAACAAATATGTAGAAGGAATTGTAGATGAATTGGATAAAGCATACACTGAGAAGAGGATTGGGGGATATCATGCAGCAGGCGAAGTCAGGTGACCGAGTGGAGGTCAAATGGGAAACGACGAGTTGTGTGTCCGAGTTGAGGTGAGATGGAGGAGATTGTGTGATGAAGAAATGAGAGTTTGTGGGCATTCGTGGATCCAGGTTGAAAGAGGAGATTTCGAGAAGAGAGTGGAATTGAGGTGTGCTACTGAATTTATTTGTTCCACTAGACTCTCAAGGTTCAAACGATTCTAATAATTTTAGAATGAGAATGTTAAACAAAATAATTTTGTTTAAACTTACGTTTTGTTATTTATTGCTAAAAGGCTTATCTAAGTTTAAGTAGACCAAAATTTACAATATCCACTAAGCTTATATATGATAATTTGACAAGTGTGCCTCTGCATGAATGATTCAGTGTCGTCTGAATTGTAGAATAAAGATGATATCTTTTCGTAGTGTGTTGTGTGTGGATAACAGGTTGAGATTTGTATATACACATGTGTTGATAGTTGTTATCGCCATGATGTATGGTTTTACTTCAGTATGTGTGGGTGAGTTGTGACCAGTTGAAGCTACTTTCTACTCCCTGATTCCTAGCTAGACAATTATTATTCCATTAATATTGGTGACTAGCTGAGGAATCCAGGACTCGCGTCTCGTCCTATTTGGGACCTATCAGCTAGACGAACCTGCCTCCCAGTGAGTGGTGTTGTTCCCCTGAGGATCAAACTCGGTACCCTTCACTTAAAACACTGACGCATTATCCACTGAGCCACTGGGGTATGACTGCCACGTCTTGTGAGTTGTTGTTGTTGTTATTTCCCGTCGCAATACAGGGCTGAATCAATCGACCGCTGCCGGCAGATGGGCCCCTTTGCAGATGCCTCGATACTAAACGCGCGTCCTTGACTCCTCTGCTAGTCACCAAGATCAGGATAACATCACGAATATCCGATTGTACAGAGGCATCCTCATAGGAACCCATCTGCCGACAGACGTTGGGCGATTCAGCCCAGTATACAGAGGTAAATTACAAGTATCACCGCAGTTATGATTCCACCTAATGTGAAAAGATTCTGCTATGGAACGTTCTTTATAACTTCCGAATCCGTTCTGAATAATCTCAATACTGTCAAAAATCGACTTTGTGACCCGAAATTATAGCATGTAGAGCTATGGTTGATGTGTTTTCAAGTTTTTTCAGTCCCACTGGATTTCAAACCGTCAAACCCAATGCCTGTAAACAGTTTGCCTATAGGAAGAATTCTATGTTCACCAAATAATTTGATGCTCATTTTGACTATATGAGATAGCCGTGGTTTGACAGACTAGTATTCATACTTATTGACGATTAAAGGTGAGATGAAAATTTGAATCATGACCAGATTCTAACCAGTCATCACCGGGTCTCCGGCCCGATGCTCCACCAACTGAGATACTAGGCCCAACTACTCACCAGATTTTTATTTCACTTCAATCACCAAGGGATTTACCCAACTGCCATGTGAATTCGTAACGCGTTACTACCTCTTGATCGTATTCAGACTGGCTACCTAGTCAATATTTCTCATCCCAATCGAAATTGGAGTGAATTAGAGAGAGGGAGCATCATATTGATTACCAATTTGACTACATAGATAGCCATGATTTGGCAGACTAGTATCCATACTGGGTGATGATTGAAGGTGAAATGGAAATCTAGACCGCGGTCGTGGTCCGTACTTATTGTACGATAGTTCTTTTGAATGTAAAACATGCATTTTGACCATCAATATCAAATATTTTCTTTAGAAATATATACGTAATTGCTTTTTAAAACACTTAGCGAAAGTTGGGTACATCAGTTGATTCATGAAAATTTTCTCAGTACACTTTTCTTCTATTTGATTCATCTAATATTATTCTAAGTCTTCAAAAATTCTTGTTATCATTCAAAACCATTTGAATAAACAAAGAATATGCTTTTCAATAACTTTTTCTTCAACTTCTATAGTTATTTGTTCACATTAAACAATTTCACGTACACAGTAGTGAGATTTCGTTTAATAGTTTTCTAATAATATTATACAGTTGAGGAATTCTCTTAAGAAGCATCTTATGTAAACGAGTTAGTGTTAGGATCAGTTCAAAGTAATCAATCATATAAATGATTGATAATGCTGCCTCTGTAACACTATAAGGTGATAATAAAACAAAAGGAAGGTGTACATAAGGGCAGGATGCAATAAACAAAGATAGATAATTTGAGTAATAATAGCTTAGTAGAATGTTACTCATGTTAAGGAACAAAATAAGATTTCAAGTTGTTAATCACCGTAGACTGACATCAGTTGGAGGAACAAAGGAAACCTGGAAGCACTGGGACTCCTCAGCAGTGCGCACCCACCGCCCCACTAGGGACCGAACCCGCGACTTCAGGTTCCGTGGCCAGCACGTTACCATTGAGCTACTGGGTCAGAATCCAACCGTCCATATTCCCAACTTCTGTTAGCTCACGATATAGCGCAACCGCCACCCAATGTCATCCTTGAGTAACTGTCCTCATGACCATCAGGCTTTGCCCCCACCAGTCACGACTTCTCATTGAAACTTCCGGACTACCTTTCGAAACTAGTCAAACTCCGTCAAAATAAGATTTATTTCAGATCATAGGAATGGAGAAATATCTATAATTTGTGAATTGAAAATTAGGCTATATAAGTTACAATGCCAAGTTGTTTGTGAATCCCGACAGAGGCGGACTTTTGTTTTTTCGAAACAAATAACTCAAGTTGTTTAATCCTGATTGCTGCCACTTTTGAAGTGTGAAGGATTAGGAGAGGAGTGCCTTTTGAAAATTTGATAGAAACTTAGCAAATCATGAAAATGACTTTTTCTTATCCAGTATAACGTTCATTTGAACTAAGTATGCTACTATGGAGTTAGTATTGGTCTTTATCATACTTTTGTCTAACCATACTGGGACGTGTTCATTAAGCGCGGAAAATCAGATTCTTAGAGCAGTGACTACATTACAATTCTCCTTTTACTTGTGTTTCGACTTTCCTAATATCGCTTAACTCATGGAAGTGAATATGATTCATTTTCACCCCTTATATATACCGTATATTTCTATAGATCGTCTATTATTTTGAAATAAATTACAGTAAAAATTGTTTTTGAGATTAACGTTTACACAAGAATTTTATGAAGACCATTCCTTGAATGTATAATATTGTTGACCGCAAACTTATGGACATGAGCTGAAGAAGAAGTTGTCGAGAAGAATATTCTTTATTCGGCGTTAGTTGGTTGAAGGCTGTCGGCAGGAAGTACTGGACCTAAGTTTCGTGCCTGAACAACCTGAACAGCTCAGTGGTATGTCATTGACTTCTGTATTGGGTGACGCTGGTTCTAATCTCAGTCAAGATATCAATTCCGTCAAGTTTGCAGACATGCTTTTCTGATGAGTGCCAACAAGCACAAAACTTAAATCTAGGGTTTCCTTCTGATTACCTCAAACCAACTAACATACATCAAATTGCACTACTATGGTTAGCCTCCTAGCTTGGTGACCATATTTCAGAATGATTGATAGGGTTCGGTCAACACTGAGTACTAGACAGCATAAGATTGGTTGCTCTGCAGTGATCAGTCAGTGTATATTCTTGGTTCACTCATTCGTTTGTTCGTTTCCGCTAGAAAAAATAGAATAACTTCATTCATCTTTATATTTTGCTGTTTTTACTCGACTCTTTTGTTATCATCCCCTTAAAAAAAGTGAAGGATCGGTTTTTCAAGTTATTCCTACTGAACAGAAGTAGTTGTACTCAACTTCTAGTTGAACACCATTGGTCAATCAGAGAACCATAGGCACATTTAACTACTCAGATATGTAAAATCATTCAATCGAAAGAAAGTGAAGTCGATTTATGCAGTCACTATACATAAGCTTGCTATGGTTTATCCTAATGAAAAAACCGATTAAAACGCTTTCTTTTCCAACTACTTTTTTATAGCAAAGTTGGATCATGAACAGGTTACTGAGATGTTTGTATGAATCCATGTCAATCCAGAAGACAGTTCCATATTAACATTCACCCTACACTGTAGTATACTTTTTTACTCTTTATTAAGAGATAGTACAACATAATACCTGGCTTTACTAAAAACATGTAAGACAATAGTCTTGAGTAGGTTATTCATAATTATTTCAAATCGAATTCTGTACATCAGGTACTTGAATTAACTTTAAGTTGAAATATTATTCAACGCTAACAATAATTATGGTTGAACACACTCTGTTGAATGATGTTCACGAGAAGAATTAAAAACGAAACCAAGGATGATGTAAACAAAATAAATACTTACCTGAATATTATGCTTTTGTAATACTGATATTGCTCCAGTATAAGTAAACAATGGTAAACTGAACACCTGAAATGATGGTGGTGCAATCGTTGAGGAGGTAAATGAATTCACCTCGACTACAGGTTGTAAAAATGTTGCAATACGCAAATTGACTGGCTGACTAATTTGAAAATATGGATCAATCGCTGTCATTGTAATAATGAACACCTTGATAATGAAATATACAAAAAGAAACTTATTTTAGCAGTCACATAGTGGATTCTATAGACTACTGACCATATGTCATATAAACCTTCTAGAACCTAGTCAGCATGTAGGTCTGAACTACAAGATTTTGAGTTTTTTCTCGTTACTGATTAACCACCTAATCGTGTCTTTTGGAGGTTAGATGCGGCTCAGATAGATATCATTTGTAAAGTCTGTGACTGTAGTGTTCAGTGATACGAGGTGAAGTCTCTGAAAGTGAACTAATCCGTTCAAAGTTGTAAGTACGTCTAACTGATGAATTCTAGGATATGCTGAACTTCGGTTCGTAGCATCTTGCCTACTACTTCACTTCACTCAACACTAAATACGTCTTTGTTAAGACAGTGAAGCATATTAGTTTAAAAGTCTATGTACTCATTATGAGAATTCAAGGTCATACATAATCAAGTCCGAGATGCATAATACAGAAGAATCTAAGGAGGGTACTAAATAATTATTCAATAAAACTTGTCAATTACGGTCATGAAAAAGGTAGAACTCCATTTTCCTCCTATTTAGGACTCATCAGCTATATGAGTCCGTATTCTATCACTACTAAGACATAGCGCTATCAAATGTTTATGATAATTAAAATTTCTAACCTTCTAGTGTTCATTTATTAAACTTTAATGATTAGATATTGTTTGCATAAAAGCGCAAAGAATTTTATCAGGCTGAAAAAGATACAATATGGCACCCACTTTCCTATACTGTTGCATCTTTATACCAACTTTACTCCCTTTAATGATGGATCATGGCTAGCAGTGGAATCCAGGATGCGCATTTCATCCTATCTTGGGACTCGTCAGCTGGAAGTACCTGCATTCCAGTGAGTGATCTTGTTCCCACAGGGATTCGGACTCGGGAGCGACCGCTTCAAACGCCAGAGAGTTAGCCACTACACCACGATAGCCACTTCTTGTTCGACGGCAACAACATCACTCACTAAGAAGCAGGTACATCCAGCTGGCGAGTCCTGAATAAAACGAAATGTGCATCCTTGATTCCACTGCTAGCAACGATCCATCATTAATATAATTAGAAAGCAGGCAATATGGAGGCATCTGCACAAACGCCCATATGCCAATAGAGACCGATCGATTCGGTCCAAGCAACGACGGTGTCATATAAACTCCCCTTGTTCTTTAAATAACACTGTCGCAAATAAGTAATCCAAACCGCTCATTCCCAAATAAGGGTTCATGTATACTACTTGGTGAATTATGGGTGCAGTTTTACTTGAAAAAAGTACGAGAAATAGATAAATTTAAGTACTGAGCAAAACACAGTGATTTATAACAAACGATGGAAGCTGAAGATGTATCTATAAGAATTCAGTAAACGAATTTATTTCTACACAGGTTGGAATTCCTCATGAACTGACATCAGTTGGAGGAATAATGGAAACCTGGAAGAACTAGATAGCTGTTTCAGCAGTTCGCACTACTGGATTCCGACCCTGTGGTTCAATAGTAAAGTGCTGATCATGGAACTTAAAGGTAATGGGTTCGATCCCTGGCGAGGCAAGGTGTATACTGCTCAGGAGTTCCATATTAGTGGGAAGAAACTCCTGTCCAATGCTTTCACGTTTCCAATGTTCCTCCAACTGATATCAGTTCATGATGAATACCCACTTGAAAAATCACTATATCCCCACAAACCTCCAAATTCAGTTCCTATTCTACTCAAAAAGTTATCACTTTGACTATCAAGATAAATATACGAAAAACATTCCTTAATTCATACAAAGCATGAACAACGATAACTTGAAGTTTAAGCTAATATATACAATACTAACTTTAACTAAAGACTCAGCATAATTCAATAATTGTAATGCTATTAATCCTTGACGAAGATCAGCTAGACGAAAACTTGTTACTGGTCTAGTTGGATCACGTAGATTAACTATTTGTGCTTGTAATGGACCTTGCATTCTTGTCATATTTATATCAAAATACTCCCATCCAGGAATTGAATCTCGTGGAATACTTATACTGTCTCTTGGAAGAATAGACAGGCTACCACCAATATGAGTTACATTTACCTGTAAAAATTATCACAGAAATGAAAAAGATTATTAGGATAGTTTACAAGTTGTATAATAATCAAACGGATCTATGAAAACTAAATTAAACATGTTTAATACGGGGATTTGTATGTACGAAAGCAAGTATTGTGTCTAGTTATTAGGTGGTTGGAAAAAGCTTGTCCACAGACTCCTTTGAAATACGCTAAGCATTTCAAGAATTCCCCTTTTCTTAATCCGGGTTGAATTAGATTTAAGTTGAAATAAGATGAGTGAATAGGCAATACATCATTTATGCATACACTAATTAAAATGTGCTGACTTTTATAGGTAGCTATTTGTAAAGTATTAGGAAAACTAGTGTTGCTATTTGTTGCTTGAGTTCCAGTCCAGCTGAGAATAATATCACTCATTGGGAGGCAGGTACATCCAGCTGACAAGTCCTAAATAGACCGAAATCCACGTACTGGATTCTATTGCTAGCCATTATCCAACATTAAGATTAGGGAAATTGTTCATAATTTTATTTTTGTTAGAGTTAACACTTCGTATATTTAATAAATATTTTACTGTAGTTTAAAGTCTATGAGGATTTCCTTTATTCCATGGTAGTATTCAACGTATACTGACATCAGTTGGAGAACCAATGGATGCATGAGAGCACTAGAGAGTTACTTTGCTTTATTATGGGATTCATCAGTACTACGCATTTACAACCCCATCAATGATTCAACTCACGGCACTAGGGTTATGTGGTGAACGCGCTAAGTATTCAAAAACTAGGATGGCAATTCAACTGTAGATAGTTTCCAACTTCTGCCAGTTGGTGATATAACGTGACTCTCCATCAAATTCTTCCAGATGGTTAACTGCAGTGCTATCAGGATTTCTATTTTCCCTGGGTTCCATCTCTTGCCAAGTTGTGAGTGCATACTGCTATAGAGTCCCATTCTAAAATGAAACAGCTGTCCAGTGTTTCCAGATCCTTAATGGTACTCCAACTGATGTCAGTTTGTAGTGAATACTACTCTTAAAATATTCTTATTGTATTGTCTTATACAAACCTTAAAATGTATTATCATTTTGTAATGAATTATTTTTTCTGTAAGATTACAGTTATCATTCATGATGAAAGATTTGTAGTCGGTTTTAAGGATAATCTGAAAAACGTTTTATTTTATTATTGCGTTCTAGTTGACTGCGCACATTTTCCTTGTTGTAATATCATTACTTTTACCTGTTCAAAATCTATGATTCGTCCTAGTATAAGATTCCACAGCAGTATGCAACCATGACTCCGCATCTCTACGGATTGAACCCAGGACATTCACGTTCCGTGGCTAGCACGTTATCATTGAGCTGCTGGATCGAAATCCAATGCTCCATATTTCCTACCTCTGTCAGTTCATGGTATAGTGCAACCATCACCCGATTCCATTGCTGAGCATTTGTTCTCAAGGCCACCAGGTTTTCCCCAGCAATCATGACTTCTCATTGGAACTTCGGGAATCACTTCTCAAAGCTAATCGTCAATAAGCACTAGATGAAATGAATTTGGGGGTTTGTGGGGATATAGTGATTTTTCAAGTGGGTATTCATCATGAACTGATATCAGTTGGAGGAACATTGGAAACGTGAAAGCATTGGACATGAGTTTCTTCCCACTAATATGGAACTCCTGAGCAGTATATACCTCGCCTCGCCAGGGATCGAACCCATTACCTTTAAGTTCCATGATCAGCAATTTACTATTGAGCCACAGGGTCAGAATCCATTGGTTCATATTTCCAACTTCTGTCAGTTTGCCACCGGTAGGACGAACCTGGTGGCAGTGAGGGCAAATACTCAACGATGACATTGGGTTACGGTCGCATTTTGTCGTGAACTGATAGAAGTTGGAGATCTGAACCAATGGATCTCAACCCAGTAGCTCAATGTTAACGTCCTGGCTACAAAATCTATGATTCTTTCAGATATCCATTCACTGATGAAAACTACTTACTTGACAAAACTAATCACAATAGCTATTCGCTTACTCAGCATATTTTTCTGTTGGTTATAGACAGTTTAACCGGTGTTTAGGTTATTTATCTTTTGGAAATTTAGGCATAATATAACTATAAAATATATCTGCTAAATCACAAATGAGTAGGGAAGTAAATTTATAACATTTCTTAACCTCACATGATCTACTTGTTTATATTTCTCAAATTGTACACCTTTAGAAGTAATTTTGATCCGAATCTCTACAAAACTGTACATTAAAATGTAGTAATCGTTGCATCTTTATACTGGCCAATCCGTATAATCCATAGTTTAATAATTAATAAGTCGTATCACTTGGACCTTTGATAACTAACAAGAATTTCAAGTATTTTTATTACATGACTCCTTTAGTATCAAGTTTGATAGTCAGTGCAAATAAGCAATTTCTTTCGAACGCCTTCTTCATAGATATCCATATCGTTATGAAATAAAATGGACTATTTATTGATAGAATAGCCTGTTTCTTGTCTGTTTTTAAAAAAGTCAAACTACTCGAATCATACCATGTGATAATAACTACGTTCAAGCTTATGACTACTACCGAAGAACTATCACTTAGAAACAACTGATGATGTTATCCTCTCATAGAGATAACTGATTGCTTTTTGCTTCAGAGAGATGGTTATTTAACAGTTAGCAGTAAAGAAATAATTTGTGCTAGTTAATTCGTCAAATTGTTCCACTCATTGTGAGACCAATGAAGGTAGACTGAAAGATATTACCAGTTTGCGATGATTATCGTCTAATGCTGAAATCTTGTAAGCTGCATATGAATATTAACAACAGTAGTATTTATCACAAACTAACATTATTTGGAGAAGCATTGAAAACCTTGAACCATTGGAAAATTGTTTCATCGTCATATAAGACCGGACAGCAATAAGCACTCACAACCCACCACTTAATGATTGTTAGATCTGTTTATTTGGTATAGCACACAATGACACAGTAGAATTTACTAGATAACATTTTGAGCAGAATTTATTACTCGTATTCACATCAAAGTCATCATTCAACTTTCTCCAGTTCCATCAATAGTGAGATTGTTAGTGCGTACTGGTGAGGAGTTCCATACTGGGACAAAACAGCCCTCTAGTGCTCCCAGACTTAAACAGTTCTCTAACTTACATCAGTTTTTATGATCAATACTACCTTAAAATAAAATCCTTATAAACTTCAAGCTTGTTTTTTCTCTATAGTGCTCATTAATGACATACTGTAAGATGGACATCCCGAAGATCTAGTGAGAATTTGTGACCTGTAGGGTTAACCAGTCGAAAGGGAAGTGAATGTCAACCGAACAACTTGGTGAGTTTCTGAGCTGTATTGCTGAATCAAAGAAGTAGGAAACTGTGAACCACCGTACCCTAACGCGGTAGCTGAATGAATAACGTATTTGTGGTGGAATGTAGACGTTCTGGATTCGATCAGTGATATATTCGTCGATACATACAGCTGTGAATATACTCATGCACAATAAGCCTATCATTTCCTGGTATAAACCTAGTTGTTAGAGGTTGTTTAGGTAGCAGTTTAGGATAGATTAATTACTCTTTTATCTTGCTAATCAATGTTGAATGCAAGTTTATTATTCATTTTAATATGGTTCAGTAAATAACGTTCTAGTGTTTGAAGTGATTGGCCTCTAGTTCCAATCATAGTGGAAACAACATAGTTCACTGGTAGACATCATCTAACGAGTCCCAAATACAATGAAATATGCGTCTTAAATTCCTTAGCTAGCCACTATCCATCACGATGAATATATTATTCAGTTCGTTAGACATCGTATCATAATCGAATATCATACTGTTTTACACATTAAAACAATTTTTTTCAAACTTAAATGTCTATTATCCACTTTATGCCATATTATTAGATGAGAAGTGAATTGGTTATCTTTATTAAAGAGAAAAGAAAGAGGTGAATACATTTATGCAGACATAGTGTTTGTAGTGGATGTTGTTGTCACCTGCTGTGAAGGAAGAGAAAAGAGATATTCTTCTTAGAAAAATGAAACAGTTATCAAAGTGATCATCATAGTTATCATATTGGTCGTAGATTTAAAAGCTCTTACTGATGATTACACTGATTAGGATGTCATGTAAACATATTACCACCTGCTAGGTAAATGTACTTTATTCTTACTTGATAAATTCAAAACATCAACAGCTTGGGACCCAAGTTGTTAAGTGATTATTGAAGAATTTAAGAAAGCTGAATAAATATGCATCATAATAGTTATAAATTGTGTTTCTTTTTTGTTGTTTCATTGCATTATCTTATCCTTTTTTTGTATATGCTTCTTTCGAAATATTATCTCATTATTATTCTGTGATGTGTATCAAAAATTGATATGTTCAATAAAAAAAAGGGTATTAAAGAGTTCCATAAGAAGCTGAGTTTTACTCTACTCTTAGATTAAATGTTCAACTATGTGACCTAGGACCAGAAGATAACTACACTCAATGTATTCATTCAAAAATATAAGATAGTCTGCCTCATACCTAAGTTACAAGGTCTAATTTACAATATTATCCCCCAAGACACGTTTCGTTTGCAATTTCGAAGGATATTCTTTCATTTGATATCCTGCTTATATCACCTCTTGGCTTAACTTTAATGGGTTATATTAAGATTACACTAAAGAAATTCAGTATTTCATTCATGTCATACTTATGAATACCTGTTATTGCATATTCAAAGGCAGTCAGTAGAATGCCAAAGAACTAGAATTCCTATCTATTTATTGGTCGTCATCAGTTGTGTTTTCCGTCGCTTTGATTGAGGTTACGGTACGACCTAGTACAGTGACTAGGTGTCACAGTTAAGTTGGTAGAGCATGTTGATGGTGACCAACAGATTACTAGTCCATATTTTGAAAAGACCTAGGTTTTCATTTCACCTCCAATCATCATCCAGTTTCAGTAAAATCAGTCTGCCAAACCATGGCTATCTCATATCATCTCCCCTGGTAGCTACATTAGTTACCACTTAATGACATTTGTGTAAAAGTCATTGTTTTAATGTTAAAAGCAATGATAAAGAATCCGTAAAAAAAACTGGTTCATTTTATTTGCTAGCAGAGATTGTTTTCCTTCAATCCAGGTTTATAAATTGCAAGAATTGTGTTAACATGCTAGAAGCATTATTCTCTCAAATAAGTATATTTGCTTTCAAATTTTCAGACTTCTAACATTGTCTAGTTAACAGCACCAACTATATGAAACAATTCCTTATCTATCGCATCGAACCCCAAGGTGTTTTGCACTATATCACGGAGGCACGATAGCCACTTCTTTTACAAAGGGTATATGTTATAACTATTTGACTATCGTGCCTCCACGACATGGTGGATAACGCCTTGGTGTTTGATGCGAGTCCCGGTGGGAACAACATCAATCACTGGGGTGAAGGTACATTCAGTTGACGAGTCTCAAATAGCATGAAACATACGTCCTGGATTCTTCTGCTAGCTAAAAAGAAATAAATTACCATAATTAACATTCAGTCAATATCGAGGCATCCGCATAGGAGCTCATGTGCCAATAGAGGTCGGATAATTCTATCCAATAAAACAACGGAGAAGTATATCAATTATATCAATAAATAGTAATATATGAAACAACCTTGAGACCTATTTCAACATCAAATATTAACTAACTGTGAATTATATGTAACACACCTTTCTGTGATCCTATATCATCTACTTATTTACGCATGACGATTAGCGTTAATACAAATTTTGTTAGAATTAATTCACTTTTGCCAATAACATATCACAGCATATCACAACACTTTCTTACTATCTGTAGTCAAATAGCGAAGTTGAGAAATGTTTTGACATTTTCAATTATAACACTTTTCAATTTCATGTTGGTAAAGTCTTATAATAATTTTGAAAACTCCATAGAGTGACTGATATAGCCTGTTTATCAGTAAACAAATCACCTGATTATATAAAGTTTGATCTTTATTCGACGTACGGCGTATGGAGGTGGAATACATTTCAGCCTAGATACGAACCTTAGTCCGCCGAGTTTTTCCTAAACAACTTGATATTATCATTAACCATAGTGTGTATGATGTTACTAAAAGCCTAATTGACAAGTGTCTATGTTTGATTAGTTGTATAACTAACGCTAAATACCTATTCAACTGTTTTCAAAGTAAGTTCATAGATGTATAAAAGAAATTTCTGTAATCGCATGTTGAACCTTAATAAATGAGTCAATGAATAAAAGTGAGGTATCTGTTGAACATTTAAACTAACATTTACCCAGTAAAACTCATAAAATGTCCTACCATATACTAAACATATATTTGTCAGGCTTCAGTCTTTCACCTTCAGAAATCTAAAAGAATTCACGTGATGAAAATAGGCATCTTTTGTTCTCAAATAAATCTAGCAGCTAACTTCAACAACTCCACTCTCATAATGATAGATTAGAACCAAGGAACACCAGAATACTATATCTGCCTACTTCAGGATATATCTGCAATACTCACGCATGACCTTATACTTAATCATACTGGTCTTCGTGTAATCATCTTATAATTCTGTACAATTCTGTGCTTTGTTTGGGTTGCCTGTTAGATGCTCAGGGAAATCGATGAAGAAATATTAAGTCCATCCAAGTGATCAGCTTATTCTTGGCAATTAAAGGAAGTTATTCAGTGCATAATTACCAATGGAAAATATACAGTTATTCAGACGAATACTTTTCTTGAAGAAATGATGACACCTTTAGAGCGATTTGAAAACACCGGATCATTCTAGGGATATCTGGTTCAAATTTAAAACTTTTCATCATTTTTCACTGCATTGCAATGATGGGCAGTGGAATCCAGGATGCGCATTTCATCCTATCTTGGGACTCGTCAGCTGGATGTATCTGCCTACCAGTGAGTGATGTTGTTCCTACCGGGACTCAGGCTCGGAAACGATCGATTTAAACGCGAGAGTGTTATCCACTACACCACCGAGTGGCAACAGCCGCTTCTTGTGCGACAGGCTTAGTTTCAATGTTATTGCTTGTATTACACTGTCGTTTATTGGACCGAATTGATCAGTCTCTGTTAGAACTGTTAAATCACTATCTTCAGTATGTTCCAAAGATAATTAACAAATGTATATGCTAATGCATACGTGTAATAAAAGTAAACATTAAGTCAATTACCTGTCGAAATGCCCGTAGTATTGGTGGCTTCATCTTTTGAGCATTTAAAATTATCACTTTAAGAAATGTGCTTTCAGTAATTGGTTGACCTCTTGAACCATCATTCATACGACTCCATATTGTTACTTGAATAGGTATGTAATCAGTTTCATAACTGTTACCTTTACGATGTAAATACCTGATATTGAAAATTATTAAAAAAAACAATCAGATTGTTAGTTGTCAAATTATTACAATTGGTAATGGTAGTCATTTTAAATAGCATTTGTTATGTAATCAGCCAGTACTGGGCTGTTGTAGTAACAAGTTAGATGATAAAGTCCTATGAAAATAGACTACTAATGAACTGATATCAAAAGAAGTAGTTTGGACCAGTAAAATACAAACTATGCATGCAATGAGGATGTATTCCTCATCCAATGCACTGGTTAAAAATGAACCACCAACAAAGTTAAAACCGTGGTCAGTTATATCTTACCAGCATATCACTTCAAGGAGCAGCTTTATCTGCGTAAAATTCTAACTGACTGATGACCTCGCACACTGGTGTATCGGCTCAAGATGTGACACTTCCCAGTAGTAGAAAAAGAACAAATGGATAGAAAAGGAGTGAGAGGATAAACAATTCGAAGATTAAAGGTTAGTGCAAATATTCAAGCTTAGGAAGATATCAATGAATGAATGCATCTGCGGCATTGTGATCAGTTTCCAGCCATATCATGAAAAGTCCTCAACGACTGGTCTATACCTCCTGACACGACTCAGACCAATAGTATGAGACTTCATACACTGGTGCCATATCTTGGTCTGGTCAATCTCAACCCTCCTCTAAACTAATCCAAATTCCTTTAATATGGCTCGTCGAGGCAGCTGGTGACTCGACATGACTAGTACACGTCCAAGACAACTCTGTCGACCTCATCAATCCACTTGCCTATCTTGCCTAGTATCCTTCGCCTGACCTTAATATTGTTCATATGGTGATTCTATCAAATGCGAGCAGTGCTATCGAGGCACCTGCAGTCAAACAGCTGCAGACTCTTCACATCTACTTTTAACAGTCATGACTTAAAGCCGTACAAGAGGACAGAACAGACTACATCACAGCATACTTTTTTTGATAGATATTCGGATATCTCTCCAGTCGGCGACATGGACTACACAAGTTAGCGAGTGCCAAACGGATCTACTGTATCCGAGCTGAGATTCTGTCAGCAGCCAACTCCTTCGGGATGATGCTACTCCCTGAGTAGGTGCAGCAGTCGACAAATTTAACCACCTCACTCTGTATCATTTAACTGAGAATACATGGAGCATAATCTTATATTCGGCAGGTGCGAGATAGATACCGAAATATACTCAGATTTCTGTCTAACGTGTCAAGAAGACCCTGCGTTTTTTCAGCGTATCCACCCAGCAGGACAATATCGTATGCACGTTCTAAGTCAACCAGATAACCTCCAGGGAGTAGGTTAATCTCGTTGAAGTCAGACGTACCTGAGGTTATGTCCATTAGTACTTTTATGACAAAGTTAAACAGGAGCAGTAACAGTGTGCATCTCTAGTGCACACCGCAAGATGTAGCCAATTCTCATGAAAACTCTCCACTAGCCCAAATAAGGCTGCGTGAGTCCGAGTAGAGAGCTCTCATTACCCTTATATACTTGCTCGATACTCCTTTCATAGTCATACACTGACACAACACCTCGTGGTAGACTGAGGCAAACGATACCATCAGGTCAAGATAAATGTAAAATCCAGTGCCAAAAAAAACAGCATTTTCAGTGAATTCCTTTCTACTCGAGTTGTCGTTATTATTCATACTCGTGTTATTGTTATTTTTTCGTTTCTTATGTGTTTGTACGAACTTCTTAATAAACTGTGGAGGATAATGATAACTACTAGAGCTTCTTTTGCGTGTTTTAATTCCTGTTTTAGGTACTTTGTAGGATTTCACAGCCTCCATTGTTATCCTATAGGAGAAGGAACATCAAAAACTTTACGTAGGATTCTCAACAAAACTGGAATTAGGGTGGCGTTTAAACCTACAAACTCACTCAGAGACAAGCTTTGTCGGCTGGCCTTATTGGATCCGATAGAACCAATCAAGTAAGATAACCTAATATATCAAATTCCGTTTATTGACTGAGTCAGGTTAAGTAAATAGATCAAACTAGTCAGCCAGTTGGGGTTAGTTAGAATAGCCGAACATAGGAATTTATCTAAATATAGAATGACAGACCTCAATAAGATCAATGATCTAGAAGAGAACCTCGGCTATTGCAATGCGTTGCATACACTGACAAATAACCAAACAATAGTCTTGGTGGGGTGAAACCACTGTACCTAAGTCTAATATAAATAGGTGGAGATAGAGATCGATTACTAATTGTTTGTTCATCAAATCAACCAACACCCAACACAAGTAGCATAAATGACGGAACATCTATACCAGAAATATGGAAAATTTTACTACCAATAAGAAAAACACTCATATGAGGTGACAGGAGTGTGTGATTACCTTGATATAATTATGAGCAGTGATAATTTATGCTGGAAACGTCATGAAGTAAATAAAACTGTATGACTCACTGTGTTATAAATGAAATAAATAGATCTAATATGGAATTATATTCTACCACAGTGCCCATGTTTTACACCTATAATAACTAAACATACAAACTTAAAAACTGAATTACCGTGCAGAGATCAGTAGTGACTAACTCCAAGATAAGATTTCCCCAGGTTCTGATAGAAAATCATCACCGGTGGAGAAAACCATGTTGAACGTGAGGATATTTTCTCAACCACAACATTTGATAAACGTTGAACTATATCACCAAGTGATAGAAATAGAAAAGTGTGGTCCACTGAACACTCACACAGTGGCTTTATTAGTAGCATGCTGACCACGAAACATGGAAGTCCTGGGTTTGACCCCTGATAGCGCAAGGTCATGGTTAGCTTACCTTTTGAATGTCTCATAAGGAGAAGAAACAGATGTTTCTTCATCCCATGTATTCAATGTCAGTCTATGATAAATAGCAAATCGAAATGAATAAAGCCCATAAAAATCTCTAAATTAGACGCACAATTCTTTTATGGATATTAATGAGAAAATTTTCACAACCAACTATTTTACTGATTGGGAACAACAGTTTAAATGAATAAAACCAGTTTGGAATTCCCCACATATTTACATGATGAACATCAACGCATCAACAGAAATCGACTTTACTTGTACCGATAAGAATATTAAATCTTACAGTATATGTAGTAAAGAAATCGCCTTTCCAGCATCTTAGCTTGCAGCCTTCTTGCTCTGTATATCTGTACTTAGATAGCTTATCCCCTTTACTGTTGAACCTTCCATGGGTGGTCATTATTACTTTCGTTTTCTGACGCTGTACTATATACTACTAATGTGAATGACTTCAAATAGTTCAAACTGTGCTGTTATAGTAATAATCATCATAATAATGGCCATATTTTGCAAGATGTTTGTGGAATACTCAACAGAACTTTAAGCATGTCAAGTAGCATCATAAACGCCCTTCTCTCATTCCTTTCAACGTATGAGTATGTAAATTCATAAATACGGTTGGAGATGACGTGAACAGGGTAACTGCCCAATTTTATTCAGATTTACCAATAAATCTAACCCCAAGGAGCTATTAATTGTTAGTCAGTATGAACATTGACTTTATTCCAACGTTCAATGTACAGAATACCCTTCGAACACTTAAATAACAGTAGTCTATTGTAACCTGTTCCAATAAAATGAAACACTTATATGCCAGAGTTGTAGCAAAAAATATATATGATTTGACTTCATTTTTTTAACAGCTGAATGATCACTGCTCAGATGAATGAAAACCATTGTCAGGTAGGAGAATAAATTAAGTCTTTGAATACTAGGTGAAATTCCTGTTAACAAACAAATCAATAAACAAAGTTTACATGAATGTTGTCGCTTTATTATCCCATCGTTGATTGGACCGAATTGATCGGTCTCTATTAGCATATCGGCTTCTGAGCGGATACCTCAATATTGCCTGTGTTTTACTGATATATTAATGGTGGATGGTCGCTAGCAGTGGAGTCCACAGTGCGTGTCTCGTCCTATTTCGGACTCGTCAGATGGATGCACCTGCTTTCCAGTGAGTGATGTTGTTCCCATCGGGACTCAAGAAGTGGCTATCGTAGCCTGATGGTCTAGTGGATAATGGTCTGTCGTTTGAAGCAATCGGTCCTAAGTTCAAGACCCGGTGGGAGCAACCACTTACTGAAAGGTAGGTACATTCAGCTGACAAGTCCAAAATAGGACGAAATGCGCATCCTGAATTTCACTGCTAGCCACTATCTATCACCAATAAAGTTTAGATTGGAGAGAAAGAAAAACTGAACAGAAGGTTGTACGAAAGTCATGTTATTAACTTGATCAGTTTTATCAGAGCTAAATAAGGCGTAAAAAGTGCAGTTTAAAGCTTTTACAGTTGATGATAAATTAGTTAATAGGCTAGATAAACGGTATGATCAATTCACCTTAATCAATAGTGGTATTTAATATGACAATCAAGCTATTAGTTCTGAAAAGAGTTAAATCTATAAACTTATCAGCTGTAGAAAAAAAACTGTATTTATTTACTTTACAAGCTGTCAACTGATAAAATAAACCATAATTCTAAATAAATAAATAATTAATTAATTAAAGGAAATATTTACCATATGATTGTGTAATCTGATACTTTTATGATAATAGATAGTTATTAGTAGTAAGATATCAGTAAAAGAAACCATAAAGTATTTACATGACTTTTTAGTGAAACACTAATCGGTAGCTTAGCTTGTTAAATGTGGTCAGCTAATTTCAACGACTGGGTATAATACCAAAAAAAGCATTGATTGTATAAACTACGAACAGATTCCAAAGGCGATATCAAAATTTCGACGAAAAATTACACCATTACGAAATAAATTTAGGTAAAGGGTTAAAAATCACATTTTTGGGAATCGAATATATAACTTCACCGTCAGTGGAATGGAATTTAGTGGTTCATATCATCATGTTTCTTTCAGTTTACGATATAGCACAACCTCAATCCAATACTGTTGTTGATTACCTGTCTTCACTTCTATCATTGGAATAGAATGATAGAAACAGGAAAGTATGGACTA